GGAAATGAGTTTTATTATATTGGAATTTATAATCCATCAAATATTTTCGCTAGCGCGAGATTGGTCTAAAAGCGTCACGTGACTGAAAATGCCCTTGGGAACAAGTGATATTTCCCAATGTTTAAAACTGCGCGTGTTGCGAAAAAAAAATTCAAGTACGATAAACACAATAGCCCCCACTTGGCGAGAAAATATGCTCAGATATTTGTCCTTGGACATTATCTGTTCCTCAAAGCTCACAGTGTTCGCTTCTCAGAACAGATAATGTCTGCGGACAAATATCCGAGCATATTTTCGTGCCGATAGTGTTAACTATGGATTTTCAAGCTGCATGTACTCACCGTTGCTATGGTTAGTTTCTTTTTGGCATCAATTCAAATAATGAAATAAAATTGATGTCTAGTTTTTGGAAAAGCTCTTCCTGGAAATAGTCATTCTGGATTCTATAACTTTTCAGGGTTTTGTTGTGTGATTTTTCAGCCAAGCCTTAATTCGTTTAGTATTCCTTTTTAGACATTGAAATAGGTTTGTTTAATTAAAATTCGTATCTCGTTCGCATTTCGCACAAAGGTGCAAGGAAATGTGTACATGCCACAAATAGCACTAAGGTGTCCTTTTGAATATGTTTAGACACGAGAGTACGAACGGGTAATGATATGGACTAGGCGGGCCTAAGATATGAGAAAGGCCAACCCACGAACTATGGATTGTGCAATTGTTTGTTGGTGACGCTGATGTTGTAAGAAATATTTAACAACAACTTTTGTCTTTTAACTTAGTGTTATCCTAAACTTTTAATCGATAAAAGCCAAGATTGTAACTTTAATATTGTTCACGTTACCTTATTTAGGTCAACCACTTAGGAATAGTCAGTTAAAATCAAGATGGAAAATGTTTTAGTCAACCTCGATAATCTCGAAAGAAAATATGCTATGTAGCTTGGTGCGCAGTCGCAATGGAACCTTATGCGAATTGCACATGACATTACGTTAACATAATTGACAGTTTGACAGTGATTTGATGGATCATGTGGGTTGTCTCTTTAAAAGGAACGTGACAAGTGAACTCGTAGTTTTATTTTTGTAATAGCTGTGATCAGTAAAGAGTAGAAACAGAAAAAACGGCGTAACAACTGCCATTGGAAATGAAAGGGAAGTAACCGAACATAAGAGTATTGAAGTGATCGGCTGAATTCCCAAAGTGTACTTCGACAAATTACTCCTGGCTGCTTCATGCTACAAATTCGCTGCAAATAGAGTAACCTTGCGCAAGAGCACTTTCGTGCTGGATGGTAGTTTATTGTGGTGTCTATCTGTATCTATTATTGTCTAAAAAGTATAGATTGAGATTATTCTGTCCAGTGACCCTCTGTTTTTGTATTGACTTCATCGAGATCGCAAGCTTGGCAAAATATTAATCCGGTGCGTGGGATATGAACGAGTCAAAATGCAAAGAAAAGAAAAGAAGTAAAATGACTCGTACCAAAAAAAAATAAACGTCTGTGGACAGACTAGTTTGACATCTTCATCATTTTTTTCTTTTTTGCTATTTTCTTGATACATGTATGTACTGATCTCCCTTGACTTTCTTTTCTTTATATTCATGTTCAATTACACTTTACACAATCCCATATGGTCTAGCGGTTAGGATTCCTGGTTTTCACCCAGGCGGCCCGGGTTCGACTCCCGGTATGGGAACTCCCTTTTTAAGTGTACAAACTTTGTAGGTGTTTTTGCTTACTTTTTTTTATCAATCACTGAGGCTAGATAAGTTGAATCTATCTCAGTAAGACTCTTTCCTTTTCACCAACTATTCTGGCGAGAATTTCCTGACGCGATAAGATTCGGTTTCAGAAGAAAGTAATCGGTTGAAGTTTTTCTCAACCATTCATGTGGTAGGGTTGGTAAAATAACTTAGGATCTCCATTTCACTCATCTTCAAATATTCAACTAGTCATTACTCAGAGCACAGAATTCAACTAACAATTTCGAAGCATTAACTGTCTTCGCTCAGTCTCAGAATAAAACATCCGACCATGTCACTTGAAGCAGAAAAAATTGCTAATTCCCATACAGGGTACCGGGAGTCGAACTCGGGCAGCCTGAGTGAAAATCAGGAATCCTAACCGCTAGACTATATGGGACACCGCGAAAAGGAAAGAATAGCAACAATTATAGTAGCCTCGCACTAGAGCACTTCATTCTTGAGGGCAGTTTATTGTGGTGTGTATCTGTCAATTATTATTCAAAAATTCTAGTTTTTTTTGTATCTTCATAAGTTTTCTTATTTGTTATTTTCTTCACCCATTCTTCACCCATCTCCCTTACATTTGCTCTCTTTGTAATCTATGTTCACAATTTTTTTTTTGTCAGTTCCTATGGTATCCCATATGGTCTAGCGGTTAGGATTCCTGGTTTTCACCCAGGCGGCCCGGGTTCGACTCCCGGTATGGGAAAATGTATATCATTTTTATTTTGCATTGTTATATGACTCTGTCTAACAAGGACTGGGAACTAACAAATTCATCAATTTGATTGGCTGAAATCGATATTGAAAGCGGTCTAGATTTTCCCAGCTAGACCGGCATCTATCTAGATCGGTAATGTTTTGCAGTGAAAAAGTTGCAAACTAAAATGCAAAATCACTGAATATTTTCATCTAACAATATTTGTTCATGCAAGTACCGAAAAGCCTGTTGAAGATTTAAGACTAGATTTTATAGTTAATAGTTGACAGACAGACTGAGACGCCACAATGAACTAGACTCCCGGCAGACCGAAGTGTTCTAGTACAAGGGTATTATTTTTGCTGCAGATGGAACAGTTTCTAGTTGTCCCATATGGTCTAGCGGTTAGGATTCCTGGTTTTCAGCCAGGCGGCCCGGGTTCGACTCCCGGTATGGGAATACATTTTTTCTTAAATGTACAAACTTTGCAGGTGTTATATTGAATGGATTTACGAAATCCAATATGACATACGACTGACGAGGCTAGTTTCAACGAAATATATTTTGCAGGTATTGTTAGCTGGGGCTATAAAGGTACCTATCGTATGAAGTGTGCTATCTCGCAATGTATGTGTGAATGCAAATCAAGAAAACTGATTCTTTGCTTCTTTGGCGACAAGTAAACGATCGACCTGAAACAAATCTAGGACAATACTTTCGGAATCTCACCATCGGGCAGTCCAGATACTCGCTCCTTTACCCGCCCTAAATTCTGTTGAATCCAGGCGGGAGAAGAGAGAGTAGAAATGAGCACAAAACTCATAAGATGCGTTACACTATGAAGAGAAAGTTATTTAAGGCTGAAAAAGCTCTTTTAAATGTCAAACTGAGTTCGCGTAAACTAGACGTTTCGGGTAGCCCTTCTTAAATGTGTTAGAAAATATATAAAAAAAAAGGTATTGTATACGCATGCTCAGACGGAAAGAGCGCTCATGAAATACAATAGAGTTAAAACAGGTTTGCTGCGCCATACTGTTTTAGGACTTTAAACGCGTGTAGTAGTGCGTGTATTTATAATATGCGCGAGAAACACAGTCTGGAAACTAAAGTTAACGTTCGTTCCTCTTGGCTTTTTTTTTTTTCTCGAGTTGGTGCTTATAAAGGGTATGCCTGAACATAAACGCAAGCAAATGGTCATTTTTAGGCTATGATGTACTTTGTATCGGTGTAGAATAGTGCCTTGTCTGAACGTGTCTTGAACGCAGTCAATGCTACAAACCCTCTCTCATTTAGTAAGAAGCTTCTCTGTAAGTGTGAATGCAGAAATACTTGAATTCACAAAATAGAACAACTTTATACAACACCATGGGAAAGAAAACGTGACACAGCTAATAATCAGCCATATTAAATTATTAAATCTAACGTAAATTACTCATGCAACCGAATGTCTTCCGTTACTTTTGAATTATACCCGTAAACCAGTTTGTAATTGAGCTGTTTCCTAACAAGATATGTCAACTACAGGTGGGCCTCGCTAACTCGAACTCGGTTAATACGAATTCCCCGTTATTTCGAAATCAAAACCTACGGGTCAAAACCATTCACCTTGGATTTGCCCTTTAGTCATTTTACTATCAGTTATTTCGAACCATTTTATGCTTCCCCCGAGAGTTGGAAATAGCGGGTTTCAACTGTATTTTGAATCTTCTAATCCAGCGGTCTCAGATACTCGTTTAACCAGTTTGATCATGACGTCAGTGCTTTCTCATTGGTTCACAGAAAAACCTTTGTTCTTTCGCTATATAAGTCCGATACCACCCGGATGGTTGGGCGGTCAGTTAACTCCACTACAGTACACGTATCTCTCTTTAATACTGATATTAAGTAGTAGCAATATTAAGGGTTTCACGGTTCGGCGCATGTTTGCATTATTTATTCGCCTGTGCACGCTTTTGGCACTTGAAAGGTTGTTAGAACGAAGCGATCTAGTCTTCTGGCAAATACTGCTAGTTAATCATTTGAATTTAATTATGAAGCAATGAACGCACAGCTTAAACCAACCACTGGATTTAGAAGCTTTTGGAAGTTCGAAGGAAAAAAAAAAGAAAAAAACGCAAAATAGAACATTCTTCTTCAATAATCACTTTTCTTCGCTTCAAGAGAACGGTATTTACGTTCTTCTTCAATAATCAGTTTTCTTCGTTCAAGAGAACGGTGAGATAAAATGATATTTCAGTCTTTCCTTGAAATAGGTAAACAAGTTCTCAGTACCTTACAAGATTTCCTGTTCTAGTATACGACCTATAAAGCATATGGTTAACTCCCCTGGATCCTAGTTCTGGAAGGAAACGACATTCGTAAACGGATTCACGGCTCATTGTCCAAATATTCGTTCGAAATTTCACTAATTATTTACAGGAGTTTTTCTTGTTTGAGAAAAAAATAGCAAATTCATTTCTACAGGAGACTGAAAATAGCGGAGGAAATGTTTCACCGTGGGTATTTTCTAACTGAACTTGTAAAATGAAGGTCGTTTTACCATTCTTAGCCGAAGTTGCAAAATTTCCACACACGTTTATTAGAAAAGCGTCACTTTCTTATCTTTCGTCCTTGTCAGCTAAACAATAATATTCGGAGAAAAAAAAATTGTTCTCTTATCTTTTCCGTTATTTTCCAATAATAATAAAAAAAAAATACACGAGAGTGAACGCCAGCGAGAAACATTAAACAAATTACATAAAATACCGTAAAAGAGTCATGTATCCATACTCCTCAGACCTAATTCATTTTATCGTACGTCGTGTGATCACATTTTATTCACTAAAGCGGTTTTCAATTGAGTGTCGTAAAGTTAAAACCAATCCAATAACTTCCTAGCTTGCGTAGCAGGCGTAAAACAGGGGAGATGGGGAGGGAGAACAAGAGCGGGGATAGATGGAGGGGGCGAGGGAGAGAGGACGTTCCTTCCCATTATTTCTCGCGTTGTTGCCTCCCTACTCCTTCTCCGTTTACGCCTACAACGCAGGCTAATAACCTACCAATTAGACTAGTCAGTAAATCTCAAACCGTAGTAAAACTAAAATCACAGTAATTTACTGATTATTTTTGACACTCAATTGAAAACCGCTCTAACAGAAACAATTTATTTCACGGTCGCTTCATGCTACAGAAACCAGAACAGGTAGACTTCCTACATGCTCCTTCTAAACCAACGGAATGACCTGCACAATTTACAAGGTTTTTAAAGATTGGCCAAACAAAACAATACATAAAGAACAGCCCCAAGCCTTAAGAGCAACTTAGCATCCGGCTAAGCGCGCTTAAAGAGTCCACGATCGTCTTGGTCAGCACCAAAGTTCAACCCGTCAGTGACTAAAAAGATTGGGGGTCCTGGGAAGTCATCGTTAAGAGCCAATCAACTGCGAGAGGAAATGACGATGATGGCGGGTGAGCTTTTATCGCTAAACTTAATTGATTATCGGTTGAGCGCAAGTTACAAACAAATCCTAAGCGAATGTCTTTTGCGTAAGTCTCTTTATGCCGCTGCAACTAACTAAATTTTAACTTAAGCCTTATTAATTTCCTAATTAATTTCATTCTCCCCCTCTCCCACCACAAGCAACTCATTTCGCCGGCAGCGCCTCACATTTGGGCGGATCTTCTTTCATCCTGTTCAACCGCTGAACGAAGTTCGCGGGCATGTTATTGTTGCGGGGATCTGCAGCAAAATCCATCACATACGAGCTGGGTTCCTCGCCGTCGTCGTATTCCTCGTAAGAAGCGAAAACGTAATATTCCGAATCAAGTTTGAAATCAATCGAACAGCCAAACATATCTGTAATGGTAAAACTGCAAAATAAGAAGAAAAGAGGTAGAACTTTGGAAGAATGAAAAAGAAGTTCTTACGTAGGATAACAAAAAAACACACTTGAGAGTTTCAGAATAAGAAATAAATTGCTCTGAAGTGTAGAAACTTCTCGAAAGTGAACACCAACTGCTGAAACTAATAAATTTGTAACGTTCTTTATGCGGTCAGTTATCAGTTGTTATAGCAGAAAAATATGGTCGGGCTCACATATAAAAGGCAAAAACAAACGAGATACCAAAGTAGTGTCAATGTTTTAGCGATCACAAGCTTTCGTCGTTGCCACAGCGTCTTTCTCAAGTGAATATGGTGGTAATCTACTTGTCACGTGAGCTTGGGTGAACCAAGTCACCTGCCAAAACATCACGTGACAAATAGATTCCCGCCATAGTCATTTGAGAGAGATGCTGTGGCAGCGTCGAAAGCTTGTGACCGCTAAAACATTGACTGCTTCGATATCTCGTTTCTTATTATGTCTACTAGATTCGGGAAACAAATGGGAAAGAAACCCGAAAAGTATACGCGGCTCTTTTAATAAGGAAGAACTTTTGTTATTCCTTGGGAGCTAAAGCCCATGGGCTTTCTGTAGGAAGGATTAATTACGCGGGGAATTAAGTTAAGTACCGGAATTTACGAGTTTTGCTTACCCGTGCTTGATGGAGATTTCTTGGTCTATGAAAACAGTCGCCGGTTCATCTTGTTTGAAGATTTCCAAAACTATCACATTGACCTCTAATCCTAGCTGAAACTTCACCGTGGGGGTAACTCTGGCGACTAGAGTAAAAACAAAAGAAAAAACTGAGGTTCATTTCTCACAGGATGTCTTTCTCTCAAGTCTCCGGCATCATGTATACGTCTGGTACGAGAATTTCCTGACCAAGAGGTCCGGCATCGTACAAGAATTAAATTCTTCATCGGCGCGTGGTCCCTGACATCCAAACGTTTTTGAGTAGCTAGTGCCCTCATTACAGTCATTGCAAGGCTTTCAGTCCAAATTGCAATCGTAAGGGTTTTGTTGGTAAGACACGCTCTCGCTTTGGACGAGTGAGAGAAACAAACAGACCTAATAGCAATAGAAAAACGAAACAAAATATGATGGGGTCATGTAAGAATGTACTTAATTAAAGTTACGTTGCACATCCTGCCGTCCCCGCGACAAATTTAGGGCAGGATTTTGCAGGATTCCAGTTGGCGAAATCAAAGCCAGAGTGCTAATTCTCCTTGAATACGTTGTTGTTTAGTTGTGAGCGTAAAACTATCAGGAATTCTTGCTTTCGGAAATAAACCAGAACAATATCTAACAATACATACCTAAGTTACTGCTACAAAACAACTCTGCGAGGTTGAACTCTGTACTTTCTGTGAAAGTAAGAAGATTACTTTTTTCATAAGCGGATATTAAAATAAACGGCTTAGGGCTCTGCCGCGGGTAAAGCGATTTACAACGGCAGACAGTTGTTTTTTTGACTCTATCTTTTTCAAAGATCTTCATTCGTTGTTTTTGTGCTGTCCGGCTCCACCGTTTTGGTGACACGGTTTGAAAACATTGGAGCAGTGATTTCTAGTAGCATTGGACTCCAGATTCCAGATCGTGTTAGGTTATTGCAGTATCCCTGTATCTTGTAATGTTGTAAATGTGACAAGCATTGAATTCAAGTTTCTTTTATTACTTCACCTTGGAGAGAGAATCTTAACGGCTTCTAACTGTTCACCGATATTCCAATGGAAGGTCTCAATATGCTTGGGCCTCAAGGGTTCAAGGATCGATCATAGGGACCCCGCACCCTTATTTGTGAACTGTATATGCTCTTTTATTTCTGTTTTTAGATTACATAATATGAGCATATAAAGTTCACAAATAAGCATGTGGGTTCCCTTCGAATTGATCAAAATTTAACCATACACTAACAAAATTCTGGTTTTGAACTCTTACCCCCTCGGCGGAATCGAGGGGCATTTGACCCTGTCGACACCATGTAATTAGTTTTCTTTTTTAGCTCGTGGAGAAATAGAACACTTGAGGCTGACTGCATGGACTATCACCGCCTTATTTTGGCATCGGTTTCATTTCTGTTCTTTTACTAAGCTCTACAGTCTGAAATCAACAGATTCTTTAAACGCTTTACCTGAAGTATTTATCCCAAGTACCACTCCAGCCCAGTGTCTCGCGACCATTCTCTCGTTCTCATTCCCCTTTCTAAATTAGTTCCTTCGCTTGATACACATACCACCATTTAATGTAGTTATTTGACCTTTTTTGTTTTAGTGTAGTTCAGTTCTGGGACTCTCTCGGTCACGCAAATCAACGCCCTCGGATGAGAGACATGCACCCGGGAACGTAACGTTGCGTGACAGAGGGCTACTGTAGAACTGGACTGGGCTTCGTGTAAAGCTTTGTGGGGATCGCGTTAACTTACCTTCATCCGTAGCCCTGACAGTGGCCTGGAAACCAGTGGCTACTCTGTTTGGCAAGATTCCAGAGTTCAAGACAATCTGCATACAAGTCGAGTTACACCGCGAAACAAAGACCCCAGGTAACACCTTAGAACCGCAGTATTTTCTCCACGGATAGCGATGCTGATCGCACTCTGAGGAAACCAAAAATTTAAATGCGTTATCACGGGATTTACCCCCGGGTTGGGATGCTAGTCCATCGCAGGGTTACTTCCAGCATTAAGTTCGCCGGTACCCATTTTAATTTATACACACACCTGGGTGGAGAAAGACACTGCGAGATTAAAGTGTCTTTCCAAAGAACACAACACAATGTCCTCAGCCAGAGCTCGAACCCGGACCGCTCGATCCGGAGACGAACGCATTACCCATGAGACCACGACGCCTCCCACCATGCGGTAGGTACCAAGTTAAATGTACTGCTGAAAAATGGCGGTTGATTCACCCTGATTTATCCTGATGTCGATTAAGAAGAATATGTACGTCAGCGCGCACTTTACCCTTATTTATCTAATTAAGCAGAATCGGGGTAGTAACCTCTTTTTAGCAATCTTTTAGTACACTGATGGGAGAGTGCTAGATAGAGCGAAGGAGCGGGAAAGATTTCCACCCCTTGCATTTAATCGTTCAAATAGAAGATTAGAAGGAGGGTTTAGGAGAACACCCTTGATGGATATGGAAGGGGTTCAAAGAACACGTCGCCAGGCTGCGATCCTCCATGAACAATGAACTTTTTCGGCGACTATCTGGAATTCTATTGTTTCAAAGAGCTATTATGGGATGCTTCCGGAGGCAAATACACACTAAGTTATCCCCTAATATGACATTCATAATGTGTCCACCTCTTCCCTCCCCATCAATGTTGACTAATCACTTTCGTAGTCAGAAGCTGAAGAGGCTGTATATCGTACCATTGATAATCTCCAGTTTGTCGAATGTACGAAGGTCAAAGGTCGTGAAATTAAACTCCAGCCTCATTCCTTGTGGGGGACACACTCGCCATGAGCAGGACTTCGCTTTCCGGTATGGCCAGGGATATTTTGGGCTCTGTATTGTTACTGTGGCGTTTTCATCGACTGCGACCAGGCGTCCACACGCTGAGGAGACTGGGAACAAATGACATATAGTATATCAGCTTCTGGTGCATATTCCTTTACCACCAACAGAACTCCCGGGGGGGGGGGNGGGGAGACTCTCATAGGAAAAGGAATGGATCACTCGTCGGAAATTTTGAAAAGAACCCCTAATAGGTACCAAGAATCTGTTTTCTGAGCGTGGCTTGAAATTTGTTTCACCCCTGAGAGGCACCAATTCTATAACAACACATAATCTCCTGTGATATTTTGTTTTAGGCTCAGTACCCTAAAAGGTACCACGAAAGCTCCCACTGTGGACCTTTCGAGGCTGAAAACCCCAAGAGGTACCAAAGCCTCATTTTTAACCCCTAATAGGTACGACGAACACCGCCGTCTTTTTTATATGGCAGTCCTCCTGGGTGTCCATACTTACGAATCTGTACATAAGTCTCCTCCGTCGCTTCTCCTGCAGGGTTTTTAACCGTGCATACATATCTGCCAGTGTCGTACATGGTGGCGTCAGTGATTTCCAGCATATTCCCTCGTTGTTTTTCCAACACAAGCTCTCCTCCCCGGTACCAGTTTGTAATCACGGGCAAGGAACCGCTTGCTAGACAGTTAACGACAGCTTTCCCCCCTTCCGGTATTCGGTTCACAGGTTCAAAGGTTTCCTCTTCAATCTTGGGCGGTACTATGAATGAAAAATTAAAAAAAGTTTTCCTTTCGGTGGAAAATGTTTCTTAGACTCGTTTACCAGTAGCTGTTCAGAAATCTGGCCTAGATGTTACGCTACAGCTAAGAGTCACATTATCTATCATCTACTTTACCCCCCCCCCGGGGGGGGGTTATTCTCAGAAAAATTGGTTGGGGGTGTGCGGCCCGCTTCCCAAAACCCTTTTCCTATTTAAAACCAAAATATGCGATTTTCCCTACCCTTTTTATGACCTGACCAAAAATTCCACACCTTATTTGAGACCTGACCCTTAAATCAATACCCTGTTTCAGACCTGCCTTGTAATTAGTTCCCTAGTTCAAACGGATGTTAAAGGTATAGTGAGGGGCTTTTGTTGATGGTCTTATCGATAATGATGAAAACGTAGCTTCGGCTATATCTAAAAAAACATACCCATTTCAAGACTTGAGTGCAGAAACCATACTCTATTTGAGACCAAAATGGCTAAAATCGATACCCTATTTATGACCAAAACGGCTATAAAACCCTACCCTTTGGGACCGGACATATAAGGGAATACCTCCCGGAATTAAACTGATAATTTCACATCATTAATAGGCTATTCTGCTAACTTACCAATAATGCAAGAGAAAGAGCACGCAAGCCAAGAATGAACCTTCTAACGTTTAACTGGGCGTTACATTTTATGTTCTACATTCTTCGACTTACTTTGGGCCGTCACGCAACGCTGCTCCCGCGACCCGCGTGACCCAACATCGGCCAGAAAGAAGACTAATAAACTTCTGGACTCGCTTAATTTTTCACGGGTTTTCGAGATCCAAATTCGCAAAACATGGAAAGATACCTCTCACACGAAATTTTACTTGTTGAAGAGGCAATGATGAGAAAATGCATAAGCCTTTGGTTATATTACCCTCTAGAAAAAAAAAAAAAACGAAAAATGGCGTGGAGGGTTATCGTGACGGTATTATACCGAGGATCATGAGAAAGCGCGCTACGTGCGCAAAGAGCGTGCATCTTAGGGTGTCCAAGGTCATAACCGAATAAGTGGCTGCTGAGCGATTTGATTTTAAAAATGTAATTTCAATTGACAACCGGATCTTGTACTCTGTAATTCTTTGACTCTAGCACTCGCCTTGTGGCAAAGACCACCATCTTAGTAAGATGTATCGTTTCCTCCTGCAAAACAGCGATGAAGAGTTCTTTACCCAGGGGAGAGAAGAGGGCCGGCCGAGCTTCTTTCCACTTATTGACTCCACTTGTATACGAGAGTAGATACTTCGTCAAAACTATAACTCTTAGAGCTTAATGAACTCCACTGCTACCGTGCCGAGAGGAAGCACAAAACCTTTCTTTTTCTCCGAGCGATCCTTGGAAATCAAAGATATAATATTTTTCTGTCTGTAATTTTCAGACATCTTAATCGTGTACACGGTGGGTGGCCAGTGTAAACAAAAATGCTTCCGAAACACTCTTGTCATATTTGACAGTTGAGACAAAGTGTTTACATCTGTAAACATCTGTGAGAGTTGCCGTGAAGCTTACGGTTTCTACGGGATTTTTGTCAGACAGAAAGGAAATGCTTCAAGATTTGAACTTGTAGGTGTGGTCGGCAATAGTGACAAGTATAAAATATGCCGGATTAAAAAGGATTGGATTCTCAAGTGCGAATTTATATCAGATTCCTTGCTGCGAAAAGGAAAGACCAACCTGATATGTTTTGGTGTGTGCTTTTTTTTTAGTTTCAACTTTAAGCCCACAGCTAAAATCTTCGGAAGCTTTTCCTAACCACGACTTCTAAGGGTCGCGTTGGTAACAGAAAGACAACAATGTTTTGATAATTGTGCTCTTTGTCTCAACTCACGTTCATCGGTGTGACTTTCAGACCAGGTTTTGTTTTGATATCCTGGCTGCACGACTACAGTTTTCGAGTTTGAGAATCGCAAAATAGATTTTAGTTGTTTGCGCGTCTAACAATTCTGCTGTCGCCGGATAAATCCTCAAGCGGACTTGATTAATAGGATCGGCTATTGATCTTTAGTGACATGACATTTATAGGTCGCGCCGCCTGCCACTTCCGCCAGCTGAAAAACGACGCGAAAATGTGGCGCGCGGCGCGCTAAGAAAATCAAAACATTATTGTTGAAAGAAAAACTCCGACATTCTCACATACGTAAATATTTGCTTTCCCACGGAGGGAAAACAGAAAAAAATCTGCTGTTGATGTCAAAATGTACGGAAACAAAACAGAAATTGCTTTAGGTAGGATTTCACGACTGGCGTGAATTCTTGATAAGAGTTAGCTAAAATTTTAAACTTTTGTTCCCTCATTTGCATTGCGCGCAAGCTGGAAAATAAGCTCACTGATTATATCACTCAGTTTTTGTTTCGTTGGGTATAAAATAAAGTTATTAACTTACCGCAGCTGTCACGTAACGGCGGTGTTTCTCCAGAGCAATAACCGCGCTCCACGGCGGAGACGAGTTCATCGCTGACTTGAATTGCCGAAACGGGGTAACCATCATATCTGGCTGTGAAATCTTCATTCACAAAGAACACGTAATCAGTGTCTGGGAAGACATATGACAGACACAATTCTTGAATTCCAAAGGATCCAAAGCACAGCTCTGGAGGAATTTCAAACGGTGATTTGAAGATCCTCTCGATTTTGACGCAAACATCGAAGAGTTGACCTGGCGGTTCTTCTTCTGTTGTATTGAGAACTTTAGCTTGGAAAACTATTGGTGCTAAGATTGTGCGCTGAGTTGAGCTATAAAATACAGTTCCTGGAATTAATGTGCAAGTGTGGACAAAGGGTAGAAATACGCCAACGACGAAGGCAGAGATAAAATACATTTCACCAGGCTAGCCTAGCCGGATGAGCATGGTCTAAATCACTGTGTCACGACAACTGTTGGTAACGGGTATAAAATTCCATTCATGGGGTGTGATCTTTCAACTGAAGAAGTTGTTTTGAAGTGACAGCTTCAGATCAATGGCTTTCGCGGGAGATTTAGTGAAATAAGATTAACTTCTTTAAGTGTATGCGAATCACGAGAAGTTAAACTCACCTACAAAACAGAAAAAAATAAACTGTAAAATAAAAACAGGGAGGATATTGAGGTATGGCGTTTTTAACTGCATTCCCCATTTCAACAGTTTCATTCATCATTGCGGTTTGTCTCCCATCACTGCCACTTCCGCTGCTCGACAAAGGCTGGTTCTTATCGTAATCATGCAATGTGAAAAATGTGGAATTTCTCACTGTATAAGGATCTCCGGCCAATTTTCAATGTTTGTATATTGTCATACGTTATGCCTACAGCACCATATCAACCGCAAATTCTTTGGCTCAGATGGACAAACCACCCAATCACCACCCCTCCCTCACTGTTTCTCGCCTTAACGAGATTTTAAAAAAAGGGCCCTCTCCTGGTGGACGCACAAGACACCCTATACCTTCGCGGAATTTAATCGAATTTCTCTGGTTCTCTGCGAGCCAGTTCAACACATAACCCGGGTACATAACAAAACGAAATAATCAGTCAATATTTTGGCCTAACAATTTTCTATGCATATGATGGCTCGTTACTAAGAAAACCACATCGAAATCTTCTAGAGCATTCCACATTGTTAAGGTTTTTGTGAACGGTTGTGGTTTCTGGCTGCAAAGACTGTCAAAGACTGATGGTTCCGTGCCACACACAGTTGCTATCCGAGGAGCATTATATCTGTTTTTTTTTTCTATTTGTACCCCAGTTGGACTATCTTGCTACTGATCTCAAACCCCTGCTCCTAAGCATGAAATAAAACGTTTTCACATGATGTTACCACGGCAAAAACTGAAATCTGTTCTTTTCAGGAAATAAGTTCTTTTTATGCAATCATTTCCTATGCATGACCGCCGTAAAAACTCTATTGACACAGTATCAACCACAACACAAGCTAAAGGGGAAAGGTCAACAGAACTAAAACAACTTTTCAGCCCACATGCGCAGTTTGTAATACATTCCTTTCAGTTCAAGAGGAAAGGTGATTAATTTGTGGCCCAGCTTGCGCGTTTTGTTCGCTCAAATAGGCTGATATAGCAAGAGAACGGGAACGTCACTTGACGACGGCGCGCGCAGAACAAACATCCAAATATGGTCAAATTAGAAGAGAATCCAGGTTATTCCGCGCGCCCTGCAGTCGTCATCTGACCATATTTTGGTATTTGTACTGCGCGCGCCGTCGTCAAGTGACGTTCCCGTTCTCTTGTTAAATCAGCCTAATGTTTTACTACAACAACTAAACAGTAGCTACCAGTGTGCCTCGCTGGGGCCCTGGGCACTAGAGAGTAGCTCATCACCGGAGCCATGCGTATGGGCTCCTTATCATTATCTTTCCCTTCTCTCCTCGTGGAGAATGGGGCCATCAATCGATATCCGTCTCCTCCAAGCAACTCGGTCTTTTGCCGCCACCTCTGCCTCTCCATTCTTTGAATCCGGGATGTTAGTGACCTTCATCGGCCAGTAAACTTTCAGGATTCTCCTCACGCATTTGTGCTGGAAAACGTCTAGCTTGGATTCGTCCTCTTTGGTGGGAGAGTACTTTTTAATTGGGAATCCTTTCCTAATGAAATGACCGATTACAAAATTTTATTTCTAGGCAATTTTCACATTAGATAGCCTCGGCCACGCAGATGATCTTTGGGTTCGCCCCGCAATCTTTCTGCACGTTAGACAGTATGCTTATACTGACCACCTCGCCAATGTAACTTACTTATCAAAGTCAACGTATCGCGTCACGCAACGCTTCTCCCGATATTGCGTCGACCTACATATGATCCTTTTGGCTCGACACCCACTCTAACGACTCTAACCTAATTACGCGTACCACTGCGTCGATGGCTTTATAGTATAGTAAGAAAGAAGAAAGGGAAACTTCTGGGATCAGGGGAATGTATGACGGCTTGGAATCGCATAGTCTATTGGGGTCGTTGCGTGACGACCTTAATCGCACAGATCCACGGGATGATATTGTCAGTCAGGAGCCTGGGCTCCAGGGAAACAATTAGGTTGGTTTCCGCTCTGGAAATGCCATGAGCTTCTGGGAATTTGTAGAGAAACCCTCGGCGCAAGAAATGGCCAAGATCCAAGATAGAGGTTAGGAAAATTTCCACTGCTTTTAGGGTTTTCTCGCTCTATAATTTTGTGTGGCTGTTGTAAACAAAACATGACTACCGTAGGGTCAAGTATTTCAGTTTTTCTTGCAGAACCCTTGTATTTTTCGTTCAATTCTATTACGAGCTCGCTGACATGTTCTCGGATCAGCTGTTGCTGACAACGAGGCTGTTTTATTTTTTTTGGTTCAAAGCTTCATAGATTTATTTCGATCAATAAGCAGTTTATTTTTAGAAACCAGCGTTCGTGGACTTTGGCCATCATTGGGAGAATTAGCTAGCTTCAATCTTGATTTTTTTTTTTTAGTTTTGACGTAGAATTTCGTGACTAATAGTCATAAGCTTGTAAGAGAAGATCTGCCTGTAAATATAATCAAGGCTACGTATTTAGGGGAAGAGCACCGCAATAATCAGCATTTGAACAGTATTTTGAACACATACCATTATTTGCCATGCCTGCCTGTGCAGATCTGCCATTGCATGCACGGAGTAAGTGAGAGTTTCATTTCACTTAGGTCCGGTCTAAACGCCGCACCACTCATGTGCCGAACCGAACTTGATTAAGTTCGACTTTAGAGCGACTTTGGACCGACGGCTGGTTCAGACGGCGTCCTTGCGTCGAACTTAATTCGGGAAGCCGGTGGTAACAATTTCGACGAGAAAATACGCGTTCTGAATTCAAGACCTCTGTCCAAATAGAAAATCTGTGACTAACATTTCGCTGTTATAGCAATATTTAGGGAAGCAAATTCAAACTCAAGGTTCAGTGTTTGTATTTAGACAAGTTTTCTCCCGGTTAATTCGACTTGTTAAAGGGAAATCGCATAACCTGGGCTATTATCACGAAGAAAAAGCAAAAAATGAATTTGTGCGAAAGAAAGTCACTTGTACAGTCCCGTTTCTCTTAAATCGAAGGCATACTGGTATTTTGTTGTCTTTATTTTTAACGATGACTTCCAGCCTCATGCATGACTAGTCACGCCACTCAATTTTGAGCCAATCATGAGTCCTGTTATATGAAAAATACATTACAGTAATTTATGCATTAGGTTCGACCCATGAGGAGAACGCCGTATGAATCAGCTGCCGCTCCAACGTCACATAGTGCGACAGACCCTGCTGAATTTAATATTGTTTGCCGCACCAAACCTAACCTGCCGAACCAAACTGATTCAAACGCCGTACTTAACTCATCAGTTAGGTTCGGCACATGAATAGAGCACCATTTGGAACGGGCCTTACATTTCATAAACCCTCAGCGAGGCAGACTTGCCATGTCCTGGCAGGGGTGGTCACGTTGACTGCTAAATGGATGCTTGACTGTAATCAAGAAATTGTTGTAACAATATTCAGTGCACAACTTCCAGTTCTTTTCCAATTTTGTAGTCTTGCAGCATTGTCTATATGTTGCAGGAAGAAAGTAGCGCTGTACAAGAAGGTCGTTTTACTGTTTTCCAGCTGTTTCCTATAAAAAAGACTGACTTTATAGACAATGCACTCACTTGAAAAACTCAGCTCGCATTGGTGTCTATGTAAAATCGCAGTTGTACAGAGACCTTGGCAGATGAAAGTCTTGTACTGTTCCCAGCTCAAGGAAGGTTTTATTGAAAAATGTTTATGATTGTGCACTGGCACATTTTTAAAAAGAAGTTTTGGCTAATTAAAAGCATTCTTTTCACTGATGAAGGCTCAAAGGCCCATTTCTAAGTCTGAAATTTCTCAACATCTACCAAAAACAAGTCAGTGGGCACAATCGGAAATACTTTTCAACCTTGTCATCTTATTACTTCAGTTATAATTCTAATTTAAGCAAAGGCGGTTTTTCCTGTGTCTTTTTTTTCTCTCTCACCCAGGACTTGGTGGAGGGCCCAATAGTTTTTCTACAATGTTTTGTAATGTTGATGGAGCCCTTAACTCATTGAGTACATCGAAAGATGGATCACAAGTTGTAGTCGCTGGTAGGAATGGTATGTTTCATTTTATTATATTAAAGTTAGTGGTATACTGAGTGGTAACAAATTGATAAAAATGATATGATATTGTCACATGTGAAGATATCATTTTTGATAACATTTTTTATCTCTTCAACTACACTTAAATTTGTTGGTGTATGATCGAAACATCTTCAGATCTTCTTCGATTGTCTTTGGCAATCTTCGGTTATGTTCCGTAACCTTTGGAAAATGTTTGGAAATCCTTGGTAATGTTTGGAAACGTTTGTCTGGCCTTTGGACAAATTTTGGAAAATCTTCAGAAGTCTTTGGACAGTGGTCGCAAATCTTCGGAAAATCACCACAAACCTCGTTATGTATTGTGGATATTTTATATAATAAAAAGAAAATTACATGGTCGCTTGGAGATACAAAATTTATCTTCAAGTGTTGAAAAACTTTTCATTACTCGAAGATAAATTTCGTATCTCCGCGTGGCCATGTAATATCCTCTATTTATTTGACTTTCACAGCGTATAATTTACTGTACAATGTACATCACTAAATGATATGTGGAAGGTCTTCAGAATCATGACTGCCTCTGTTACTCCAATGCTATCTTACCGTCTGTTTCATGTGCTTATTGTTTTGTTTTGGTTTAGTTTTTAAGGTCATTGCAATTGAAGAGTCTGGATTTGTTGAGAAAACTAATTTACGTGTAGGAAGAATAAATTTGAACTTCAGTATTACTGATGTGCAATGGCATCCAGTTGATGGTAAATATTCATTTATTAATAATCAATCAAATATTTTTTCTAGAAATTGTTTGACCAGTCTTGGATGTGATATAGCCAAAACTAGGGAATATCTTATCAATGTTATTACATGACTAAGCTAGATCAGAGATCAACCAATAGTCCTGATTGTCCTATTATCATTCCAATATTTTCATAGTATTGGGCTGGACACTGTTCTGAATGATCCTACTAAGTTTGTTTGTAGAATGCAGCTGCCTCAAAAACATATAGTTAACCCTGTTTGTATTATCTCATGCTAAAGTGTACATGTTTATATGCTTAGGAATTTGAAGTCAACACTGGGGATTATTTTCTGTTTAATTTTTATTGATTTTGATATCTTTTCCAGATCACATTTTGGCAACTGCAGCTGGTAATGGGGCTGTTGTTCTTTGGAATTTGAATAAAATCACCAAACAGAAGCAAGGTACTTATTGTAACGCTTTCATTGGCTCCAGTGTGTATACGGAAGTGTATATCAGGCAAATTCATATTAGGAGGAGAAATCTCTAAAATATATATCTTGCAAAATATTTAGTGATCAGAAATGTTTGGCTGACACTGACTAGCTGTCAGTCAGGCATCATCCAAGTTGAGTTTTAGATTTCTTTAAAAGGAGAGATCAGAGACTTTTTAGCTGGAAACAAGAGCAAAATGTATTTGAGAGCAAGGGAGAGAAACACACACACACGCTCTCTCTTTGCCATTTTCACACCATGGGAGAGCATAAGGCCTCTACTGTGGCTCTCCACCAAACTCTGTTGAGTGTGATTTAATTTCCTGGCCTCTAACTAAGACAAGTTTGTTTTGTTTCCAATTCTTAAAGTTAACACCAGTCCTCCATGACTGTTTGAGCTGGCCTCCTCTGAGAACCTTTATGATTCCATTCGAGGGCAGTAGAGAATGTATGTAGAATGTATGTAGAGAAACACACTGAAAACTAGAAAAAAAAAATTGAGCCTACTATAATTAAAAGTAAAAGGGTGTCTTAAGTGTGAATGCGTGCAAAACTCAAAATTTTAATAATGGTTTTTTTTTTGTCTACTTGAAAGGTTTATAGAGATCTTTTGCTAAAAGGGGCACATTGCAGAAGTGTTTTTATTCAGCAGTATTTAATAGAATTTTTTCTTAACATGTCCATATAGAACTGGTATTCACAGAACACAAGAGAACAGTCAACAGGATTCAGTTTCACCCATTTGAGAAAGATCTTCTTTTGAGTGGCTCTCAAGATGGAACAATGAAATTTTTTGTAGGTTAACTCACATTTTATTATCAGTAGTAACATGTTCTTGTCTTGTCAGTAATATAAATAGCACAGGGACAGCTAGCCTTCCTGCTTGTATTTTACAATCAAAAGAAACATTGAGCGCAATTAAGTATCAAAAGTTAAAAGTTATCAAAACTTAGTGTTTTTTTTTTTCTACCTACGTAGTAAAAAGTTATTTGGCCAGACACAGAACAACATTTCTTGAGTTCAAGTTGGCTGAGAACAGTTTCTGACTGTACTTTCAAAGACTTAGATTTTGATGAATCATCATAACCACTCTTTATAAGTTGACGCTACAATCATGGGATTAAAAAGCTGCCCAATCATTGGTGAACATGTTGTTTTTATTTTCGTGATACAATAGGTTACCGTAGCAATGGTATGACCTGCTAAAAACAACCTTAATTTTAGGTTCAACTGCTGATGGCTGAAAATGAGCTTGGTGACCCCCATTTTTTATTACAGAATTTTTATAAGCAGGATAAAGCGCAACTTTTGGGAAAGCTTAAAAAATTCTGAGAATTGTATTATAATAGGCCATTCCCCCTATGAGACTTTTGTGTAGGGAATCATGGGAGTTGTATGTGTCACATGCACGACATCTTCGAGACATTGCATACAGCTTCCTTGATTCCCCATGTGTGCATCTCATAAAGGGAAGGGGCATTGTATGAACTGTCACACAATAACATTATTTCACAGGACTTGCGAAAACAAAGCATTGTATCAACATTCCATGGAAAAGCTGAAAGTATCCGGGATGTTCAGGTTTGTATTTCTTCAAGTTTCTTTCTGGGAATTACAAAATGTTGTCAACTTGAGGGCATTTTAATTTGTAGTGAATTGCTAGTTCAATAGGCTTTTAATGATAATCTGTGTAAATTAACTCTGGCTTGCTATTTTTCTTCAGTTCAGCCCATTTGATGCACAGAGGTTTGCTGCTGCATGTGAGAATGGAAATATCCAGGTAAACTTACATTAACACTGCTAGCGCTAACTACAGTATATTGGCTGTGCAAAATTCCTTCAACTTGTAACTTGGTTCCCTGATCACCATATTGAATTAAATTTATACGTAGTGTTAAGAGACAGTGTAACTGCCTGTTGAGGACTCATGCAGCTGGAATGTGTCTTTAGAAGGCTGATGAAGTGATGCTTGTTCATTTTTAGTTGTGGGATAGCCGTCAACCAAACTATCCTATAAACTCATTCATGGGGCACAATGGACCGACATTTGCCATTGACTGGCATCATGAAGAGAGGAATTGGGTAGCGTCTGCTGGCAGAGACAAAATGATTAAGGTAGCTAGCAGAATGAGTCTGAATTATTCGGCCTATTCATAGTTAATAGAGGGGAATGGTTGTGAAGCACGGCAAACATTAAAGGAGCAAAGAAAGATAGCTAGATTAACGCGAATGTTGAAAGGTCCATGGCAGAGTTCCCATCAATGCATAGGTGTGCGTCTTATATGCACAAAAAATACAAAGGACGTACAATTTTATGGCACAGTGTGTCCTTGGGATGTGGAAAAAAAGGTCCAAGAATTTTGGTAACAGGCAAAGGAACCCTGAAAAGCAAAAGGAATGCCCAACTCTTTGGAACTGGGTTTCCCAAGGACCCTTAACTATCAAAACTAGTGGGAACTCTGCACAGCTGTGGACAATCTTTTGTTTTGGGCTCAAACACTTAACATGAATTTCAACATTGATATTAACCTTAACATTTCTTTTGCAATGGTTTGTTCCTCAGTCAGTATTAAACAGCTATAAATTGTGTTTTGTGCAAGGGCAAGGCCAAAAAAGAGACCAAAAATATACAACAAAGAACTTTGTCGGGTTTCATAACCATTTCCCTCTATTACATGTAACTATGGCCTATTTGTTGAAAGAGTAGATAACACTTTGATAAAGCCTATTCATTGAACAGCATTAAATAGAACTATTAAAAAATCAGTTCTACTGATGTGACTGTGTTTTAGATCAGCCGCAGGGCTGTGCTAAAATGGCAGGATTGCTTGCCCTCAGTTTCTGTTACTTTTGGTAGTTGCTGAGTGTTGAAGCTCAAGGTGCTGTTTGACTCAGTGACGCTTTTGGATTGTGACAGAAAATCATTTATATTAATCATTTCCACAGGGCAAATCCCCAAGATAGGTGTCAGTTTAGGTAAACATCAAACACAGTTTATTGATAATTAGATACAGTATATAATGCTAATTGATTGATTCTTCAGGTGTGGGATGTGCATGGCAGGACCAGTCTTGTAAACACAATTCAAACAATAGCAGCTGTTGCTCGTATTAAGTGGAGGCCACAAAGAAAATTCCAGATAGCAAGGTTAACCAATAATAGTTATCAGTGATAATTGAAATTCGTATCTAGTACAAATTTAATAACAATGGGTGATCAAGTGTGATTTAATAAAAAAAAAATATGGTCTTTAGTTACATTTAATCACTTGATCTGTAAGGTTTGTCTTTGAATATGGTGTTTAAATTAAGACCTTGAATGAAACCTAAACATGTGATCATCCAAATGAAAGCTGTGCTCTCAGAACGCTTTGTTTGCCTTAGCTATTTCCATATGTGTGAATTCTTTGTTCCATTCCATTTCAGTTGTTCTCTTCTTGTGGATTTTGATATCCATGTTTGGGACATCAGAAGACCTTACATACCGTATGCATCGTTTTGTGAACATAAGGATGTTGTAACAGGTACTGGAAGGTAGATAAGTGAACTTATATCCTGTAGATCCGTGCATGCCAAAACTAGAATTTAACTTATGGGAATACGTAAGTAGAGCCAAGCTGTGGAATAGCTTTTACATGGTTCTCTTTGGTTTTACCCTGTAAACTTTCCCCCACTCACTAAGTTTTACAGTTTGTTAGAAAGTTTTGAGTTATATAGAGTGGAAATTTGTAGGACCTTGGAGCAGTGTAAAAATTAATGCAAAAAAAAAAAACCAGAAACTCAGTAATTTAGTATTTGCTGTTTGTATACTCAAAATTAATGAAAACGAAAAACACGAGCGAACATCTGCGAGCAGTCAGAAATTCTAGCTTAGTAAAATACTTCTTGAGTGCCAAATTAAAAATTTCTCTTTGATGTTCTCCNCCCCCCCCCATCCTCTTGAAGCTTAACGGCTTTTTCTCGCAATTTACGTTGAAATTTCGCATTCAGTTCTCTTTTACAATTAACGTCACATTAAGTAACTGTGAACCAGTATAAATTTGCAACTGGTGTGGTATTGTGTTTAAAAGCAACATTTTTCTTCTTGGCTCCTCAGCATAAATGTGATTTTTTATTTTATCAAAGCAAACACGCTTCTACTGAGAAGCTGTGACAGCAACAAAAAAAAAAACAACATGTAATTGTGAAATTATTGTTCTGTCAGGTATCCATTGGAGACAATCACTCCGCAACAAAGACCCGTTTGTATTCTTGTCATGCGCTAAAGACTCCATGCTCTATCAGCATGTCTTCAGTGATGCTCAGCTTCCCGCTGATCACGCTCCTAGAGTTGGGCTGTCAGTCAATGTCAATGGTGACATCAGTGTTGCGTCGAGTGACCAGTTGTCAAAGAGGTTTCCTTCACAAAATACGATACACACGAGACCGTAAGTAAAGTGAATACTCACTCAGATATATCGACCATTACCGCCATTTGGGTCGTCGAAAAATGTGTCTAAGAATCGTTGCGTGACGCGTGACGCGTGACGCATGCAAAATTAATAACGCCGGGGTCTGAAGGTTTTCTTTATCGGTTTGAAGCTCAAAATAGTAGTTCTGCTTACTGATCGCCATACCTTTCTTTCAATGCTAGTTCGTAGAATTTAGTGGCACATCAAGACTGTTACCTTGCTGATGATCTTCTTTATTCTCGTCACCTGTCCGCATGAGATTATATTAACAATGTGACTTCAGTCACGGTCTTTTGAGTTTTTTTGGCTAAGTACAGAATTACCTTGAATTAAAGGAAGCCTGAAAATAGTAGTTTACTAAGATGGAAAAACACCAAAGAGGTAATAATAAACCATAAGGGAACAAGGATGGTTAAGGATGGAGAAGATTGGCACGGATTACGAATGACGAACTTGAAAAATTGAGGCTAAACTTTTCAAGATGCGCAAACTGTGACGTAGCTCCTTTAATCTCTGTGTTTTTTTTCACTGACAGGCGTGGTGGTAACAGTCTTCTCATGTTACCAAACAGCAGCTTAATCTCTCATCGCAAGTTCCAAGACATGGCTGACAATGTGTCTGAAGTCAAGAGCACACTTTTTGTTCACGAAAATGGCAAGTCTACGGTATGTCTCGTGTCGATGTATTAAAGGAGGGACTAAATAAAATACCGATTTATACACCTGAGTTAAATATAGTTACAAGAGGCAAACTCACACATTTTTTGCAGGATTTTGAGCAGCCAGGAAGATAAATTTAGTACGCAATAATGGTTTGAATTTATAGCACTCTGTACTCGGAAAATATCAGGAACCTGTAAGGATGTGAAGATTGTAACGAGACGATAAGAGAACTCGTTTACCGATGTTTATCTGAATAATATGTGATAAATTTAGTACTCGTAGGAAACCAACTGTCCTTTGAGATAGTGGTTTCATTTCCTTGCTTTTAGTAGACAATGGAAACTCGAGTCTTTAATTCAAACTTCCACACTTTTCGCTTTTTTCATAGAAGGAAGATTGGTTTGGAATTCTTGCCAAGAGCTATCAGCTGACGGGGCGAAGCTATTCAGATCTCTGCGAGCACAACTGCAGTGTAAGTGGCTGAAATGTTAGGTGATTTCAAGAGAGCGAACAAATTACTTTATCCAAACATTTTGGCAAAATATATTGGATATTCTCAAGTGTACATCAAATGTTAAAAATGACCAAAATTCTATAGCAACATAGATATTGCAGTTTTTACAGATGACAACTCCGCTCTTGTATTGGAGAACGTAACGGTCACTCTCCTTCTCAAAGTCATTAATGTTTCATCAAGATTAAACAAAGGAAATCATGACCGTGATGGTGTTTAGATATCTGATCTTAATTAGCATAGATTTTTGCGATTTTATTTCTCCGTTTACTTCTTACTTTTAGTTTCGATTGAGAAGATATATCAAACACTCGACACAGTGTCCGACCACACTTCCAAACACCTCGAAGTTCGTCAAAAATACTCCGCTACGCGTCGTATTTTCAATTCTCTTCTCGGTGTTTGGAAATGTGGTCAAACGCGGTCTTTCGTGCGTGATATTTCACTTGAAATTTAAAACGTTTGTTACTTGTGTAATGAAGATATAGCAAACAAGAATCGTGACGGACAATTTACAATATAAGGGTTCACAGAGGATTTAGAATTTAGGGCCATTTGCACGGTTTAATTGGCAGGTTTTCGTTTGAATTTTTTAGGTAGCGACTAGGCTTATGATGCATGAGCATGCGCAGACCTGGTCCGTCTTGAAGACTCTTTATAGCAGCCCAGGGGGATCTGGAACTACAGTTTCAACACTTGGACCCAGTACTAAGACTGCTCTTGCAGCAGGGAGTCATGGCAGTGGCGGAGGCCTGAGCACGACAGGGAATCCTGAACCAACTGCTGGTAAATGAAATAAACCAGCTTCTTGGACGCTTTTTTTTTTCAATTCTACTTTTTGCTGTGTAATTTTGGAGCCATTCACAAATTGCACTTATTACTGGCTTTTCTCCCGGTAGCGGATAGGGGGCGACCAAAGTTTTCTGCTGCCAAATACTAGGGTACTGAATGTGAGTTGGGAAAGCTTTACTTTATGGATAGGGGGATTTTTAAGACTGCAATAACAGCAATATCGGAAGGATATTAAACAGCGTCCACACTACGCCGGAGAAATTTGAAAACGCAGCCTTATTTCTACGGTTGGGCCTACCGTCCACACTAATCCGTCACAAATACGGAGCTTTTCGAAAACGCTCTTCAAACCGGAGGAATTTGAAAACGCCGGCTTTGAGTCTTCGTGTGGACGGAAAACATTTTGAAAATGGAGCTTTTCGAAAACGATGGCGTCACGATGCTCGTGTGATTTCCCTGACCGAGTTTTCCTCAAACACAAATCTAAACTGTTGATGACTGGTGATTGTTGTGTGAGCAGCTTTCGCCAGAGCAACGTTTTTGAGGGAATTTGTCCGGTAAGATTCCCCCATCCTTGAGAACGTTTGTTTCTCACTTCTAGCATCCCAGGGCTTACGCCAAGGGATTACTAAGACGCTTTACCGGTAGATAATGGGATTACCCTAATCCACAGACCACGTGTAAACATTGAAAATGTCAGAGGTTTTCTTTATTTTTCACAGGAGGTGTAAGTACGCAAAGTAACGTACAAACCACATCAGCAAATCCCAAATCATCAGGTGAGCCAGCAGTAGGACAAAACACCGGGCCAGCGCATGAAACGCAAGGTGAGTAAGGCGTCATGTTATATGCCCACGTCGTGTCTACCAAAGTAAGGTTCGTATGAAATCAAGTAATCGTTTTGAAGTGTAAACTTCGGCGTTTTCTTGATCAATTTGTTTGCTGTTGTTGTTTTTCAGACGAGAATGATGAATCATCGTCCACAAGCAGTGAAGGCCAAAATCCAAAGTTGATGAATTTTAGCAATCGAGGTATTTAATGTTTTTCTATCTTAGTTAACTATTATTTTCAGGTTTCCTTCAATTTAAAGGTAATTTTGTACGTGGCCAAAATAACTAAAAATACCTGTAACTGAGCTCCTTTAAACTATGTTCTTTCATAGAGTTTATGTTCAATGAAGATCAAGACGATGTGCAGTTCTTTTATGATGACACAGTCCCCCTCAGAGACGCGCCACAAGACTGGAAACTACCCAGCGTGAGTGTCATCTAAGCCTGTTCCCTTGCATATTATGGTATACTCTCTGTCAAAATTTCTGATGAATGGCATTTCTTGGAAGCAAAGCCGTTGCAATGAATTAAAAACAAACCTAGCCAATGATTCTAGTTACTAGAATGTGGCTAAAGCTTCGAAGGCACCGAAAACAGCCATGAGTTGAAAACATAAAAGCAAATTTTGATTAATTCGCGTTTTGACATTTCTTTTTCAGGAAGCATTTGAGCCCAGGGCTGCACTTCATGACAGGTAGTAAGGCATTACGTTATATGGCTTTATCGATATTCGTGATAAAAATAATTCTGACGTAGGGAATTTTAAAGCGTATTGAAACTGGCCCATAACAAGGAGGAATGTGTCTTCTTAGTTCAATGTGCGTAAGACAAGCACTTAGTATGTAAACATATTTTCGTTGTAATGTGATCGGACTAAAGTTATCAGTAAGGGAACCAAAAATACCTCTGTAAGAGGTACTAATGCGTCATACATGAGATAACATCTGGTCAGTGTTCCCTATATATCGGCTGGTTTATAATTTATCGTCACGCACCTCCTTCATTTTGAACAAATATTGTTCTCTGTGTAATAGTACTAATATTTTGTGTTGTTTACTTTACAGACCTACTTCTCCATCACTTGATCAGGACACAGACAGGCCAGAGTCACCCACCAGGTTTATATGTTTAATATCCTAACTCTCATTGGGGGTATACTTGGAAGCCTGTGATACAATTAGTGAGAATTCGGTGTTTTATCAAGACATTCAGTGTTCTCTTATTTTCCTTATCTGCTTGACTTAGAGTGGCCCTTGCCTCATTCCCAGACCACTTGATCAGTCCCTGCGATCACGCGGTTGAGGTCAGGGAAAGCGCGATACAGGAACTAGGCAAATATGGCCCAAGAAAGCAGATGTCATATGGGACCCTACTGTTACTAGGCAACCACACTTTGACAGCGATCATTCCATGATTCTAAATCGGGAACACTTGTTCCTTGGGATGCTTAAAGTATGTTTTTTCCTGTCCCTAACTACAGTCTTGTTATTTATTTTCGCATTCTAGCAATATCGAGTCTGAAACAGCAAGTGCCACGAATGCCAAGTCGCTAATTGATTCAAGTATTGAATATCAAGTTCCTGATGTTTCTACCACCAAAAGTTTGGTAAGAAAATGATAACACAACAGAAACTCACGCGCTACAGAAACCCGTCCGCCCGAGTGGTTCCGGGACTGTTTTGACGTGATCTGAAGCCCGTGTACTCCATTTCGGAGATAGGTCACTGATAAAACTCCTCCAATCGCCTCTGTCCCTGGCAAGGCGTTCTATCAACCTCGTAACCAGGGTCTCTCTTCCTCCTTCCCCCTCGGGGGGGAAAGAGAGACCCTGGGAACGAGGTTGGCGTTCCATCTACATCCAGGAGTAGCGGAATTGTTTTAGTGGTCACGAAAAGTCAATATGGCGGCAAAATATTCTGAAAAGTATCCGTTAGTGTCAGATGTCTGGAGGATTTTAGAGAAGCCCAGTGAAGCATCCAACTCCAATCTGTGTTTTTCTTTCGTTGTTCTTATCATTGTTAAGTATTAATAATTCACTCTTAGGCCTAGTTCACACTAGCGACATGACGACATAAGAAGGACGTTGTGTCGTTTGTTTGCAGTGTGAACATCCTGACATAATGACATAATAGTGACATAACAGCATGAACATAACTACGTAAGAAAAAAAACCTGGCTTTTCGTTATGACTTTATGTCGATGTTCACATTACCGACATAAGCGATTATGTCGTTATGTCGCTAGTGTGAACCAGGCCTTAACGGTGTTTTTATCGTTCATTGACCAGCCTCTCCCAGAGTGGGATTTTACGACATTGGTGGTTGAAATGCTTCATCATTTAGCGGACAAGGTAGGGCACTTCTATTGTTATTATTATTATTATTATTATTATTATT